TTTATCATTATCCCCTTGTAAAGGAAGCGGGGAAAGAAGCGAGAGATGAAAACGGTTTACCGTACCTTCGTACTTGTGGCAGTATGAGCTGGGATGTGTTTTTACACGCATCGACGCAATTTCGCCTCAATCTTCGAATTTTCTCACGGAGTTCCGGACAGTCCCGCGGTTGGCCGATGTTTATCAGCAGATCGCGGAACTGCGCCACTTGGCTGTTGATTTCTTGAATTTGCTGCGAAATGAAACACCGAGACGCCCGATTAGCCTTGGAACACGATGTTCGCAAAGTAGCACGAATTAAGCCTTTCAGGCCATCCATAAATCGAGCAATTTGTTACGTGACCGATGACTGTTTCGCGATAAACCACGATAAAACGCGGTTAGCGTTTGTTCGAACGATTCGCCCTTCTCGTTGCGGTTCATGCAAAACTCGAAGGGGAGCAAGCGCAACTTTGTGACGAGATAGAGAGAGAGAGAGAGAGAGAAAAAAGAAATATTATCGCCGGCTTTTTAATCCAGACGCCATAGTTTGCTCAGTGGTTAAGTAACTTGAGAAGCAATAAGTTGTAAGCAGTAATAAATTACCAGAAGAATAACCTTCTCCGTTTTCTCGTTCCTGTCATCTTGCGTTTGCGTTTGAACTTGAGATTGGCTCGCGGCGTGACTGTAAGTCTGAACGTTGCTGACCGACGGTATTGGCGAATCCGTCATTATTCCGTGTCTAAGGAATACCGACTGATTGCCAATTGCCACAATTAAGGCAATTAGCAGTGTAGCTGAACGATGTCCTGCGAATGCTGCAAGCTATTTGTCACGCGAACGCACTTCGAAGGGAAGCCAATTCGCCGGAATTAAATACCCAGCGAATGCCACACTCCTGAGCGCATTGATATTAACACGCGTTGTCCGTTTCTAATTCGTCACCGCTACGATTAAATACGTTGCGCATTATTAAAGACAATTAATCATCGCTCGCGGCACGCTCCTACACAGCAAATATCAATTTACATTTGGACATTAACATTCGACGAGTTTTTACGAGTATTTCATAGTGTTTGTTTGAGTTTGAGAAACGAGCTTTGCATCGACGTACCCATCCCATTCGGTTTCACCTTTACTTTCAGAGGAGTGTATCTTCGAATCTGACGTCGGTATTGAGCAAAGAAATGTGTCGGGGAACGAGCAACATTTTACACTGAATTTTCATTTTTCATGGGAGATCCTCTTAATCTTCTTGATCTGAGAAAACATCGAGCGATTGGTATTCAAACGGTATCCGGGGGTAGCCGAGACGCGAGAACAATTGCCTTTTCATATTCAGGGGCGATTGCCGTTCGCTTTTGTCCCGTTGTTTTCGGAAATTATCGCGAACACTGTGACTGCTCGGCCGCGTTTCATCGTGCGTTCCGCGAATCGCGAACGAGACGACGATAGATAGATCGGCGACACTAGATGGATCCAAACGATTCACGAAGGAACGAAGCAATCGACGATCGATACAGCGCTTCGAATCATATCTGCTCGCGACAAAGGGGACACGACGCGTCCGTCGATTAATTGACCGAAGATCACTCTCTGATTCTAAACCTGAATTTCGCGAATTCCCGCTGTCCGGTTATCTCGGCCCGATCGTGCGTCCGAACTCTTCGCCCCTTCGTTCCCTGATCGCGCGACGACTGTACTTTTCTTTCTCTCGGTGGGGAAATTCACGTGAAACGGAACGCACGAAACGCGTTCTCGCCGGACGAAACGACCGCGTTGCACGCGTTGTTACTTTTCGCCGAAACGATCGACATTCTATTCCGCGACATTGTTTTACCGATGCTTCGTGGAACGATGTACGCGCTGTGCCAGCACACGCGACAAACTGAAACGTGGGTTTTGCTCTCGAGCTCTTTCACTGCCGCGATTCTCTCTCTTTAAGAGCGCATGTCTGACTTGGTCTGTCAGTCTACTACTGTCGTGTACCTATTGCACACCTCTCTCTCTCTCTCTCTCTCTCTCTTTCTCTCTCTCTCTCTCTCTCTCTCTCTTTATTACATGCATTACATATACACGTATGTGTGTACATATGTGTTGCATGAAATTTCAGGATATTCAACGTAAAATATTTATACTACGCGTAGAAGGCCCCTCTAACATCGTTTACGCAGAATTTTAGCTTTACGTGATTAACAAGAAACTCTGTGCACCGACGTCCGCCCTCTGTGTACATTAAACGACAGTTCGATAATGATCAGTTCTCTCTGTACATCCTGGTACCTCGCTTTTGCTCTTATGCAACCGTCGCGTACACATAACGCGACGAGAGGGAGAAATAAATACGATGCAGCAGGGTATGATAACACGATGCAAAAGATTATGTCGTAGCTAGTGGTATAAAGATAAGAAAGGAGCGGAGAGCCGACTTTTGTAGAAAAAAAGGCGGGGGTCCTTGATCAAAGAAAAAGGCTAATACAGCATCCGTTGTGCTCGAACAAAGTCATAAAATGTAAGTAAAAGACAGTAGTAATGCTCTGTCTCTCTCTCTCTCTCTCAATCTCTATTTCTCTGTGCAAATACGAATTCTTTAAAAGTATCATTACAATCCGTAGAAATTCGCAATACTCGGAAAACATGCAATTTTCCGCGCCAGCACCTGTAGCAAAGATAAATTTCGATTGAATTATTAATTAAAAAAAAAACCCGCTCGAAAAACAAATTGCTCATTTAAAGTGTTCTGTGTTCTCTGTAGGAAGTAATTACCGAGGGAATTTGTATTATTAGCGAAAGGAGTTTCGCGTGCTGTTCTTAGTAGATACAACAGAGGAAACGTCGAGATAAATACGGACATTTGAACACCGGCAAACAGTGTGCGCTGTACTGAAATACTGTTGTGAACGCTCTTTATGTTAACAGCGTCCGCGTATAAAATCAGACAGAAAATTCTTTGCGAGACTACGAGACTAGATAGATGAAATAGACCTTCCGCATGTATATTCGATATATTACGTACACAATGATTATTATCATAATATAGGTACAGCAGATTAATATAATTTCCAGTTTCGAAATGATCCGTACGTTATTATCCATTTCGTGCATTGAATTCTTCCGATTTCTGTTAGAGAAAACAATGAGAATATTGGCCGACAGCGATAGATGATGGCCATGATGAATGATGAATGATGATTTTAGACGAAAATTATATACTCTGTGTATTACAAGGTTTTCGTACATTCGTTGAACGCTAGGAATTAACAATTAGACGCTTTGATCATTCCATCAACTCATTTTGCGAGCATCGGAAAACTGTTCGAAGCAATTTACAAAACACTGATTTACAAAAACAAATAGGAATGCTCACGCCTCAAATGTTCTTTATTGGATCACACTTCCCGTACAATATCCCGGCGCCTAAAGCGGAAAGTAATTTACATGCTGAAAGTTAATTTTCTCCACGGTATCTTCAATTAGCGAAACGTGCAGCGAAAGTTGGCGAATTCGTTTAACTTAAATGGGAAACGGACTAAAGAAAGTCCGATGTGAATGTGAAAATTGTGCATCTACTATTGTATAGAATAAATACGACCCGCAGTTTTCGTTGATAAAATGTTACGCTCCAGAAACCGGCGCACCAGCTTGCCACAGGTTGTTTGTCCGACTCGTTCCGCATTATACTACTGCTGTACGTTAAAGTCGTTTAATTGGTACATTTATAACTCGTTGCTCTGCTCTCGTATGCCGAGATCATTTTAAAGTCCAGATTAGGCCCTCGTAGCCCCTCGTGTGATCGAAACTTTCCAAACTTTCCCAACGCGAAATATTGAAACTTACAAATTGAAGGCACTCCAGTTCCCTTCTATAGAACTTTCGTTTCGTTCAAGATGGCACCGAGTAACGTGCACAACTAACGAGATGTAACATATGGCCAGTGTAACCTATCGATAACTCGACAATGGGATCTTCACCGACGTGTCACGCGGTGAAGGCAGAACGGGACAAGAGCGCTTTCAGCTCTTTCTCGAGGATCGTTTCTCTGCCGGCTGACTTGCTCGGCACTATGCTACTGCGGCTTTTACGTTCGTTGGAGATGCACAGATTGCACGAAAGGGGAGAGACCGCGCGATACAAGTATAGCAAGCAACACAATGAGATAGATACTGTACGTTATGATCGATATTAAGTTACGGCTCCAAGAAATCGATTCTACGATTCTTCTTAACCTCTTGCGCTGGAATGACGTGCCACGCACGTCGACAATTTTTTGTCCCAAAATTGCAATATTTTCTTAGTTTCAAGTATATTTAAATGTAACCTAGGCAAAACAAATGATAAGTTTATTATTTCTTAATAATTTCTACCCAGTGAATATTATACTGACGAGTTCAAAAGAAAAAGAAAGCGACGAATTATTGTACAGAGTTTGGTCACTCGTTATGGTCCGTGAACCAGTTAGTGGTTAATCTCTTGCGCTGGAATGACGTGCCACGCACGTCAACAATTTTTCATTCCAAAATTGTAATATTTCCTCAGCTTTAAGTATATTTAAGTGAAAGAAAATAGGCAAAGCAAATGATAAATTTATTACTTCTCAATAATATTTCTATCCAGTGATATCATACCGACGGGTTCGAAAAGAAAGCGACGAATTATTGTATACGGTTTGGTCACTCGTTATGGTCCGCAATCGGTTGCCAGCGCAAGTGATTACCGTCTTATATCTATCATATATAAATCTTTGAGTTTCCCCCCTTTCGGCCTCCAGCCGAGAGAAGTAAGAGAATGAAACAAGGACAATTGTTGAAAGAAATCCAGTCGGAGTTTTACTGTATGTGCGACTCGTATCATTTATATGTTCTGCGATATCTCTCTGTGCACTCTACAGGACCGCGTAATGAATTGATACGATAGATAACACAGATCAGAGATACAGCACAAGGAAATAAATGCTATACATGGTAATTGAGAATGTGTTGCGATCGTGTCTTTTCCAAAAACAAAAAAAACAAAGAAAGAAAAAAAATACCCTCTGACTCTTCCGATCTAAGACGCTGATCGAAAGCAACTAAACGATTGCTCTTCCGAGTAACAGGTATACCTACAGAATGGAGGGGGTGAAACTGTGTCGTAGCAACAGGCGCGACGGACAGATAGACAGACAGAATTTCACGTTAGAACATCATCATCGGGTCGCATGCGCGATTACATGTCAAATTGTCCCCGTGTTATGTCAATAATCTGGAAGATTTTCTCATCGATCGGTCGACAAACGATCATCGGCACGAAACTCGATTGCTTCGCTGATTCATCCGGTCACAGTGCAATATCGAACGAAAAAACGCACGTTCGCGTGAGATCTTTCGAAAAGTCCAACAACTTCTCAGACATTCTAGATCCCTGAAGTTTTAAAAGTTCCCTTTAACGTAACTCTCGGGGTATAATTCACTCGGGAATTCAATTGAGAGGGCTGGCCAATCGAATTTCAAGTAGCAATTGATGTCGAACCAAATGCTCAGCAGGACAATGTTTATAAATTGCGTACGCGGCAGCGCGTGGTTAACTCCTGGCAAACTGTACGCAGGACTGGACGATTAGCATGATACGAAATGGCTGGTACCGGTTAAACGTGTTGATCGCATCGTACAGCAGGAAGATCGGTATTTCCCCATGATTATTTTTCTACAATTAGCACGACGAGTCGAGCGAGCGAATATTTTTTTCCCCAGCGAAGCCATTTTCGCGATATTAAGCGTATCGATCGGCGTTTGTCGATGAAGCAATTACGCGAACGTACCGGATGCCCGCTTAACGCAGCAAATTATTCCGAAAACGTTTAATTAATTTATCGGAGTGGAACAATTAACTTTGAAATGCGACGAAACCTGTCCAAGTATTAATTGTGACGGTAATTAATATTTTTCCAACGCTTTCGGGGACCTACCGTCTGATTTCTTTATCGCGGTCTTCTTTTCTTTTTCTGTCCGTCTTCGATGCGATATTTGCATCACTTCTTTCTCTCCTCCACTCTCCTCGTCGTTTAGCCGTACGATGATAAATCACGATGCTTTCTGCAACGGCTGTCGGCAACAGCCTCGATAACGAGCGAAATTCGTAACGTGATTCTAGAATTTACGAGAGAGAGAGAGAGAGAGAGAGAGAGAGAGAGAGAGAGAGAGGGAGAGAGGGAGAAAACCCCTTGACATCAATCGTCGCCAAGTTTCTCGCGGGCAAAAGGTACGAGCGGGAAGAATTTCCCTTCCTTATTTCCGTCGCCTCGCTCCGCCGACATTAAACGAGACTCCTCGTTTTGCCTTTTGCCCGGAAAAAAAAAATAGTCTCTCAGAAGTTTCCCCTTCCACCCCCACCCTTATTTGAAATATCGGGGTTTTTCCAGACTTCGGGATGAGATAAGAAACAGGACGTTAGTAGCTCGAGATAAAACGAAGAATAGATTTTGTCGCATTTGTACGGTACATACACGCCTGTTTGCAGGTAACGGCGAAACCGGAACAAGTGAACGCCGGACATTTCGGTTACGCTCGCGCAATTCGGGGAAAAAGCGAGCTCCACGTTCACATTCTTTCCTCCGTTATTAAAACCGCTTCCATTTACCTATCCTACGTCGGCGATTTTTAATCATCGAAAGTATAAGAAAAAAAAGAAAGGACGAAACGAAATCTGCGACGCCGCGAGTCGAAATCCATTTCTGAATTAAGGCTGGTCTGAGTTGGTCTTACTTTTCCTTGGTTGTGCTACTTGCCTGATGTCAGAGGTAATTCAATCTGTATGGAGGGGAGCAAAAACGTCATGAAACTCGTCTAACAACTAATTACTAAATTGAGAAGTTTCACTCATAAACATAACATATAG